CTCTTTCCTGCCTATGCAGGGGGTCGGACTCAATGATCTATTGAGGTCCCTTCCGACCTTAACATCTATGAATCTCCATAGACAGAAGAGATCCTCCCCCAGTGCGGTCCACAACACTTGGCAATGTATGCATGCAGCATTGACCTTTGGCATCCATTAACTAAACTGGTGCTCTGCTTGGCTGGAGCAATGGCCAGATCCCTGGGTTTATCCTACTGACTTTATCCCAGCTGTGGCATCCTTGTGTGTCATCTTCATCCAGGGCCAAGGTTCTGGCACAGTCAACGTGTTGCTATGGGTCCCTGCTCCCTCTGGGTCCCCTGAGCTCAATGCCAAGGTCCTGACATTATTGACTCATGTAAACCAAAAGTGGGCTAGCATCCACTGTAATCGGCACTAAGTTCCCCAGATCTATCAGTCTGAATCAAGGTCTGGCACCATCAAACATGTTGAGCCACTTGATGGAAGTGTTCCTGTATCTGTGTTGTGTGGCATAGAGCACAAGCGCCGTTGTAGGGATTTTCTGCTCGCCTGAAGTGGTTTAGCACCACTATGTAACATTCAGTTTCCCTGGATCTAATTTTGGTCAACCAAGTCTGGTGCTGAGGACTAAGCACTGTTGGTGAACCGTGTGTTTGAAGTGGGTCATTGTGGAGCATAAGCAGCCCTAAAGTCCCTGGTTCTACCAGTGCTAAAGATCTCTCTCTCTTTCACACACACACACACACTAACATTGCTGAACCACCAGCTGAAATGGTTTTGCTTCCAACTGGGAGTATGACACTCAGAAGGATCTGCATCAATTAAAGATACCAAAAATCTAGTACCACTGACTTGTCAGAATGGAGTAGGGGCCAGAATTGTCAGTTTGCTTCCAGGTTCCTGAGTTCACCTGACCCCAACACCTATACTGTACCTTTGAAATGTGATTTATTAAAGAGGAGTTGGAATGAGACATGACCATATGTGCCTGTAATTCAGGCAGGTAACCAAAATGTGATGTATGTGTTTGACTTCTGATAGCATGTTAGATTAACAACAGGAATTACCTAATACTCATGTAATTATTAACACCTTCACCCATAAGTGGGATACAACCATCAAGCCAGTGGCTGCAGTCCTTTGAGACCCAAGTGATCTAACTACATAACCAATAGCATAGCTGTTAGGAGGACATCTACTTTCTGATAGTTCTTATTTGAAGCTTCATCCAATGGGAGGAATCAGTCAGTGGTCCAGTAGTGTTCATACCTGAGCTTTACACAAAGAAAGTCATTGAATACCTTGATAATTTTCTCTGAAATTGAAGTCCCTCCTGCATCACGAAGATTCTCTCAGACAAGGGCAGAGAAGAAGAGCAATAGGGCATGCTGTCAATTGCAGTCATGACGGAAGCAGGAAGATCTCTGCTTTTGAAATGAACACAGCAAAGTGACTATAAAATGGATAGGTGTACCCATGCTAGCTTTAATCTAGCTAGCCCACAATGGGTAACAGTAGTGGTGAGAATCATGGTTTCCACATGGGACGGCAAAGTCAAGGGCATATCTAGG